ACCTGGGGGAAAGGAAGGTATCTAAATAAATAGGGACCAACTTCAATCATTTTCCCGGAAAAGATGCTCTCGATATTGTAAAAATACGTATTCCTCCAACAAATGAGCTGGAAACTCCTATGTGGAAGCTTCTTGTCCTGCTTGTGCAGAAGCTTGAAGATCCTCGCAGGGGCCCCGGGAAACCAACTGGGATAAAGGATGCCAAATGCCACTCCAGGGGCAGGGAAAGGATATCTGCCCTCCCCGAAATTCCTGGATGAGCCGAGAACAGGAGCAGTTGCCGTGTCCAGTAATTGTAGGATAATGAGGGTGCAATTGGGTGCTATCTCAGATGCCAAGCCAGGGTGAGTGTATTACATCAAAGAACGAGCTAGGGATTCCCTTCATCTAAATTCAGAATTTCTTCCGGAACAGAGACATCCAAAGTTGCCTCCGAAGCACAAATTCTTATAACTCTTATGAGAGTTTGAGAATCGGTTGGTCTTTTCTCTCCTTGGAGATACAAAACCACTGGGTCTCTGGCACATCTGGCACAATGCTACTACTCCGTACGGTACAGATAGTCCTCAACTTACAACAGTGGCTGTTTTTCAGAGTTACCCTTTTGCAGAATCCCCACATGATCACGGGAACCAAATTCAGACGCTTGGCAACTTTTTCATATTTATGATGGTTACAGTGCCCCAGGGTCACGTGATGCCCTTTTGTGACCAACTGAGGCAAGAAAAGTCATAAAATGAGGCAAAACTCACATAACCAGCGTACCACTTAACAGACATGCTCTACTCAAAAAGACCATTTTGGACAAACGCCTCTCTAGAATTCCAGTCTGAAACTCAGGAAAGGTGGGAACAAGGGAATTGCGGAAGGGGCTTTGCCGACAAAGCAGAAATGTCCCTCCCATGCAAATTCAGCATAACAATTAGCTCTTTGTGCATCATGCTAACCCATGGCTTCCTTAACCATCATTTTTACATTAGGCCACAAGGGTTTTGCCCATGACGCTAAGCCGTAAACTGCAGTGCAACCAATGGCTGGATTGGCACAACTAAGCAGCTCTTTTTAAAATGCTGCCTTCTTTAAATGCTTTCAATGTGACTGTAGAGAAGCCTCATTGCATACACAGGAATACAGTCTCATCTGCAATTGATGAGAAGGCTGCTTTTGAAAGGAAAAAAAATATTTTTTTTTTCCAGCTAAGTTTGGTTCCTAGAAGCTCTACGGACACATCCATATGCTGATCTTGGCAACAGACCAGAGATAGTTTGCCCATGCCTTTTTTCCTGGGTGCTTTTAGATTTATCAATTTAGCCTGCCGTCCTGGGGTTTCCTGACAGTGAGCCATCCAAGCAACTAACTAGATGCAGTCTCCCTAATTTCTTCAAGTGCAAGAATGGACTTGAAAAATCTATGTTTGGAAAGCTGGCAGAAAGAATCATGGGCACCCAAAAAGTCCTCCACATTTCTTCAGAGCGGGGTTAAACTGACCACCAAGCTCTGTATGACTTCTTCATGCTCCAACAGATAGTTAAGACTGCAGAAAGAATAAGTGTAACCAGCCTGCCTTCCACAGAAGACCTATATACTATATTGCAGAAGCTGTCTGCAGACCCCTCACATCCTGGGCATAAACTGTTTCAACTCTTTCCCTCTGGATGGCGCTATAGGGCAGCGGCTCCCAACTTTTGGGGTACCAGGGACCGGTTCCGTGGAGAAAGGTTTTTCTGCAGGCCAGAAGGGATGTGGTTTTGTGTGCTGCCTGCATCCCACAGATGAGGTTTCGCTTGTTTGTGCAGCCCAATTTTTGACATGCCAGGGACTGGTGCCGGTCCACGGACCAGTGGTTGGAGACCCCTGCTAAAGGGCCTTGCATGCCAAGACAACACAGGGAGAGTTTTTTCCCTCGTGCCATCGTTCGGCTGAATACCTAATTCTCACAATACTGTCTAATGTCTATGTACTGTAGTCATGTAATATGGCTGTAGTATTATTATTTATCCTTATTGTCTTCTTTACTTCCCCTTTGTCTTGGTATTATTATTCTCTCTGTTGCTTTACATGTACACGGAGTATTTCTGTACCAGAGACAAATTCCTTGTTATGTTTAAAACATTTGGCCAAATAAAGTTAAATAAGTATTTATCATAGCTGCCCCACCCTTTTGTTTCCACCAGGGAAGGCTGGATAATGAGATGCAATTTTTAAGGCAACCTGAGATTCCTGCTTTATTTCTTATTCCTCCCTATTCAAAGCTCTGGTGTTTTAGTCAAAATAACAGTGATACAATTCATCTTTTATTATGTGATCTGGCTCAGCTTCATAAAATGAATGATCTCTGGGAATTTGACCATGTTTTCCATAGCTGCCTCTGCCTGCCTTTGCAGCTTGTTGAAAGTTTCAAAGCAACTAAGGAACCTGTGAAATGATATTCAAGAAACAACTGCCAGACGTAGACTTTGTAATAATGCAGAAAACATTTCAAACATTTAGAGGAGGGTTCTTTTAACCTTTTCATGGGGAAAAACAGTCAGTACAACCTGCTTTTAAAAGCTCTATTCACTTCCTTTAAAAAGTGCCTCATTTCAAGAAATCATAATTTTGCTGAGTAGCATGTTGGCTTTAAGACACAGAACAATAATGACAGCTTAAAGCATAATGCAAAATACATTTATAAAGCAAAATTATTCTAAGGGGACTTTTTAAAAAGAAAAAAAAGAAAAAGAGGGCATAAAACATTTTTTAAGCTAAAAGCATGAGATATGGAAGGAAAGCCAGAGAGTGTCATTTGTCTTCAACTTTTGGACCTAAAATTAAATTTTAAAAATCTCTTTGCTAATTTAAATTAACAGGAAGTTGTTCGGCTTGAATTTAATTTTTCTTGGGGCAACCATGAAACAACACATTATTCATTTCTGAAAATCAAGAAAATGCAATTACTTTCAATTTTCCTTTTACAAAATGCATCCCCAAATAAGCAACAGAAAGCAAACAAACTTTCCCAGGTATTAACAATAAAGGGACACACTATCACCAGCAGAAGTTCTGAGACTTAATCTGAATAGCCCTCTAAATGCCATATATTATTTCCTAACGTTACCATCCACCTATACAGCAGGCAAGTAGTATTCAACATGCATCCTTCCAGCTTACGAGGAAGCTTCATACAGCACCGTTTTTTGTCTGCTAGCACTTATATATTTTCAGAGGAATGACATTTTCCCAAGAGGACACCTGAACTTGGGATAACCTTCTCTCAGCCTTCACTATCATTATTAGTCCAGCTAAAGTTCACCCAAGTACCTCTACAGAGGCAGGCAAATTAAAATTTCATTAAAAGTACAACAGGTTGGTGGATGTAACCATGTAGCCGTGACTCTGTCTCAAACAGTCCTGAGGATGTGTGAATGACACAATGTTTTTTTTAATTCAGTCTCAGCACAGCAGCCTACTAACTAGAGGAACCTCAGCAGCAAGTATAGTAGGTAGTAGCTTGCAAGTAGCAAACAAGAAAATAAAGCCGCCCAATTAATTCCTCAGTTAAAGGCAAGGAAAACAGGCGTATTATTGTGACTGTTCAGGAAGTGGAGTTACTTTCAGAGACCCAAAGATGCTGACCCATGCTGACTTGGAGATTTTGCTCAACTAAATCATTTTAGGGTAATTTTGCATGCTAATGTATTGGGGGGGTGGAAAGCTTTGCCTCCTTCAGGGTGCTGATGACAAAGCCCTACGTGCTCTGGGGTCCGATTATTTGAGGGACAGCCTCTCCCCCCTGACATCTACCGGCCCCATCAGATCCTGGAGGAGGATCACGCTGTGGGTCCCATCTAGGAAGGAGTAGGTGGGATTGCAGCTCTCCTCCCTCACAGCACCCTCCGAGATCGTTCCAGAGCAAACTTTAAGAGTCAAGCAGCATGGATTTAGGGGCACCGAAGAACCGGGGGTCCCCCGTCACTAAACAGGGCGGCTCTTAGCTAAGAGCCCCAAGTTCCAGCCTTTAATTCCTGTGTTTGCTTTCGTGCGGGCAAAACAATTAAAACCAAAGCTCAAATTTCCCCCGATCAGGAAAAGACTCTGCAGATAGAAACAGGCACAGGATCGACAATGTGCTTTGGAGAACCGCGAGCAACGAGGCTGTCATTTGCAAAGACACCCCCCCATCTCCCTCTCCTCCCGCACCCCGTTCACATCGCGGCCTTCCTTGCTAGAGGCCGGCGCACCCGCATTGTCCCCCCTCTCCCCCCCCAAGCCCCCCCACCTCAAAAAAAGCATTTATCACGCGCGGGGCTGCCGGGATGAACCGCAGGGAAATTGGCGGGGGGGGGGCAGAAGGAGAAAAGAAGTTCTTTAACAAACAGCTTTCTGCACACGGTCAGAGGCACTTCGGAGGAAGAGAGAAATCTCCCCAAATGCATGGGGGGGGGCAGTCCTGAACAAGGGCGCGAGTTGAACAGCAGCAACCGGGAAGGTTTTTCTTCTTTCGGGGGATTCATAAAGGGAGCTTCTTTTCCAAATGCAGGGAGGCGGGAGGGAAGGTCAGCCCAGCAGAGGACCTAGCCAGGACTGGGGAGAGGGGGGCAGTTCAGTCCGGACTCCACCCGGAGCGGGGATTCCCTGCTCGTGGAGACGCCCCCCCTCCCCGGGACTCAACGGGGGAGCCTCTCCTGCTTTCTGGCAAGGAAAGCGGGCACGGGGTGATGGCGAGGCTGGCAGCCCCTTCTGGGCTTCCCGCGAGCCGCCATTCAGCCAGCTCGGGGCGGGGAGAGACACTCTAGGGCAAGGGCAGCGCAGGACAGCACCGTCGCGGAAGAGAGCCTCACCAGGGACCAGGAACTTTCCACCCGAAATGAGCCCAGCTGGGAAGGGAAGGGCTACCCTCTCCCCTCCTTTTTGCCGCCTCGCCTTCCTCAAAGACCCTCAAGCTCGGCCGGGCGGGTTGCGCCTTCCCCGCGCGCGCAAGGAAGCGGAACTCTGCACGCGCTCAGAGACTTGGCGCTTACCTTGGTGGGAGCCGGCGAGGGCAGCGGAGGGGAGGCGCGGGGCCGGAGCCAGCAGGAGGGACCGGAGCCGCCGCCGCCGCCGCCGCCGCCGCTGGCGAGGCCGGGAGAGGATCCTGGCGGCCGCCGGCGCGAGCTCGGTGGTCCTTCCCGGCGCCTGGTCGGCTCGCTGGGAAAGTTGCAGCAGCCGCACGAGCGCCTTAAACCCGCCTCCCAGCAGGACGGGGCGGCCCGGCGGGCGGGGACTGGGAGCCGGCCCGGCCCAGCACCGCCCCCGCCTCCGGGAAAAGCGCCTCTGAGCGTCTGCAGAGCGCCGCCGCCGCCGCCGCCTTCCGCCAGCCAGAGCGGGGCCCGCGGAGGCGCGCTTGCAGCCGGCGGCCTCGGCCGTTCCGGAGACTGCAGGTGATAAATGATTCAGTCCTGCGACAAGGACGGAGGGGCGGGCGGTCGCGCGAGCGGCGAGCTCTTCCGCCGGTCTGCGGAGCAGAAGTTTGGAGAGGAGGCGCCGGAGCCCGGCCGAGCCGCAGCCCCCCGAGGCCGACCACCACCCCCCGGGCCGGTGCTTCCCACGCGCGGCAAAGGCCGCCAACCCCACGCAGGGCGGCCCCGGGAAGGCAGCCGACGCCCGCGTTGCCCTCCGCCTCCGCCCGGCTGCCCCCTAGCGGTCGTCCGGGTTGTCTCCGCTCTGGCCTAGGAGCCCCCGTGGGAGAGGCCGGGGGCGGCGGCTTGGGGAAGCGGCCCACGGGGCTGGCTCTGTGGCAGGGGAGAAGGGAGCCCCCGGGAAATGCCCCACCGAGGGCTGGCAGCGCCAGGAACGGTCTGTCTGGCGCTCGGAGCCGGCTGCAGACGGAGCCCCGGAGTCCTTGTGCCTCTTCTGGGCGGGGTGGTCGCGTTGCTTCTCTGGACTGCAGGGAGCAGCCGTTGCCTCCCGCCTCCCTGGCTGCGGACCCCGTTGCCCCCTTCTCTGCCCGACTGCCTCTTTCTCTCCCACCTCCCCCCCCCCGCGCTCCGGACAGGCTCCGGAAAAGTGTGAGCTTTTGTTCACACTAAGCAGTGAAAATGCCCACCGGCTGCAGCGGGTCCATCCTTGACACACAACGCAGGTATCTGGACCGAGGTCAAGCCCCGCTGCGTCCTCTTGCCCGCAGCCCCACCTACTCAGAGTCCCCCCCTCCCATTTGGGGATCCCCAAATTCTGTCAAGGTTAGTGTGCGAAACAAGCAGGCGAGGCACAATCCGACCCGTGCAGGATTCACTTTTATAGATCTGACGTCTAGTAGATGTACGAAGCGTCCAGGAAGCCAGCGGAGCAAGAGACGGTTGTCTGGTTTCTGCCCACTGGTGGCATGATCTCATTTGGCTATATTGTCCACGTCAGTAAAATTGGTCACAAATGATGGGGCCATCATTTGCTGGTTGCCTCGGCCGTTGTGGTTCCTCTACCTTGTCCCACGTTTAAAGCAAGTTTTTTGACACTGGGTTTGGTGGAAGACTTTTAATGATCTTCTCCTTCGAAAACAAAAATGCAAAACTTCTTAACTCGTAACATCAATAATAAATAAGTGACTGCTGATTAAATTAGAGCAAGGATGGAAAGCCATTGAATATTGATTGAAATTTAGCAATGGCTTATTGAATAAACAAGAGCCAGCCTAATTGCTTTTTTGTTATTTGCATTAGAATATTAAAAAAAAATGTAGATCTATGAGAAGAAAACTTGCGGTGAGGGATTTTGCTTTTTTCCCCCTGCATCTTTTTTTAAAGTTGCAACCAGTTCCAAAAGTAGAAAGAGAATAAAGCAAAGAAGCTGTTCTTTACTTAATGCGTTTAGAACATTTGTAGCGTATTTCTTTAAAAATAGGTAGCAATTATCTCAGCTAAGCAAAATCAATTCCTGACAATAAGAGCACTGTGGGGGGAAAGCGTTATTTATTAAAAATATTTGTTTTGCCCTTTATCTAATAAACATAGAGCAGTATATACAAACAGTAATTTAAAATATACAAGGGAATAAAATTACTACAAGGAGAAAAGGAAGCAGGTATAAAAAGAGGTGGCCCACAACAAGCTGTTTAAGAGAAGGTTTGAAAACTCAAGAAAAAGATCTCTTAAAAATGCAGCAAAGGTCTGCCCTCTTCATGACAAATAGCCTTCTTCTTCTTCTTCTTCTTCTTCTTCTTCTTCTTCTTCTTCTTCTTCTTCTTCTTCTTCTTCTTCTTCTTCTTCTTCTTCTTCTTCTTCTTCTTCTTCTTCTTCTTCTTCTTCTCTATCCTCCTGGGAAATCATGCTCAGTGCTTTTGCCAAGAGGAGAAGTGACTCTCGTGGGCAATGAGTGAGGCTTTGCATATGGCAAAGCTTAGCCCTTGCCTTTCTCTGAACAGGTTTTTGACATCAAAATGCTCTCCCACTCCTGGGGAAAAGTTATGAAACCAATGGAAGAGAATTTCTGAAACTCAAGATTGAACTGTGAGGCCCTTGTGCTCTTGGAGTTTGGTTGTTCTTTTGCAGACATTTCATTACCAGAGGACGTAACATCACCAGTGCTAGAAGGGAGAGAGGTTTGCAGAGAGGAGAAGGAGAAGTGTGGTGTCCTTGGTGCTCTCTGAGCCTGGTTGTTTTCTTGCAGACATTTCGTGCCCCAACTAGGTAACATCATCAGTGCTTCATCAATGCATCATCAGGGCACTGACCAATTAACCTTTATGGTGGATTAAACCACCACGGTAGGTTCAAATTATGGCCCACAACATGCTAGGTTGAAAGAACCCTGATCTCATTATATCTTCCTCACCTTTCCTGCTATGGGTGATAAAGATCTTCTTTTTTTAATCCCTCCACCAACAAGAATTCTCTGGGCACACACAGGGTTGCATCCCAATGACACTTCATCCCCAATTCCTCAAGGCTTTTCCTGGGGAGATATGAAACAGCAAGGGAGATATTCCATTATCACGAGCCAGTGGGATGTCCCCGGAGTTTGCCAACACCATTTTCTGAACCTTCTGCCATGTCAAGCTCTTGGGGCAAGGTATTAATCTATTTTTTTTAATAAAAAAAGCATCTTGTTAAAGACGCACACCTTTTTAGGGTAGCCATAATTTAAGGAATTGCACAATACATTATTAGCTTTTAGGACCCTTTTGTTTGCTCAACTAGAGGAAATTCAGACTTCTTTAAATATCTTTTTAAAAAGCAACTTTGCTACGCCTCCCGTTGCTTGGCTGCATCCATATGAAACTACTGTGCTACACTTTGGGAAGGGGGGGCTTCAGCTGGTGCATGATGCAGCTACTGGGTTGCTTACAGACAGCCACCCGGAATATTTTGCACTGGCTGAGTGTTAGGACAAGGTTATCTCAAGGGCATCTTTCTGAATCTGTGCAACCTTAAGCTCTCATTCAGACAAGACTTTGCTCACAGCCCACCAATAAGATTTAATAGTTGGGAGACATTTCTGCAGATGCTCTAACCTCGGGAGAGCCTCATCATGAGAAGCGAGGGAGGCAGGATTTGAGGAGAGTGACTTTCCTATTTCTTGTTTCTCTACATGCTTTAACAGGTTTTAAGACTTCTGGAGAATTTAAAAGCTTGTAATAATACAGGTAGACCTCGACTTATGACAACAATTGAGCCCAAAATTTATGCTGCTAAGCAAGACAATTAAGTGAGTTTTGCCCTATTTTACAGACTTTCTTACCACAGTTGTTAAATGAATCACTGCAATTGCTAAATTAATAACATGGTTGCTAAATGGATCTGGCTTTCCCATTTGACTTTGCTTGTCAGATCACAAAAGGGGATCACGTGACCCCGGGACACTGTGACCGTCATAAATATGAACCAGTTGCCGAGCATCGGAATTTTGACCACAGGACCATGGGGATGCAGCAATGGTTGTATGAAAAATGGTCATAAATCACTAAATGAACGGTTTAGTGACATAAGTCACTAAATGAACAGTCATTAAGTTGACGACTCCCTGTACGCTAATATGGATTGGTGCTTAGGTTTTCTATTTTCTTAGGGGTAGCACCTTTGTTTTTTTGTGTTGTTTTTTCTTCCCTTATCCAGCTTCTTTGCCAAGCAGAACATTTCAAGAAGGAGCCAAAAATTGTGGTTATGCAGCAGCCATACAATAAAGCTGGGAAGGTACACCTAAGATCAACTAGCCATGGCTGTCTCAAATGACCCGGTCGTGTTGACTAGAGGTCCTGTTCACATAATGCATTTAACCTGATTTGTTATAGTTTGCACAATGTAGTGAATCCTAAATTAATCAGATGAGCGGGAGTTTGCTCAACCTGCAATGCACAACACAACGAACCAAGTTTAACTACCAGCTGAGCAGTTTGTGCAATTGCAGGGATTAGTTTTTTCTGCAACCCCTTGAAGCATTTCTTGCAAACACAGCCATTGTTTAAGCCCTGGATCACAAAATCTCTATGCACCCGTTTGGCATTTACTGTACCACAGCATTTAAAATTAAGGCTTCAATAATCTACTGATCAGCAATCAATATTTGCTCCAGAAAAAGACCCAAAGAAGAAAATTTCTCCCCTTTAGCAGGCACATTGTAATACTTCTGGGAAATCAGGATGGTTATTTTTGCTGAGAAGAGGAACAGGGTCTTAGGCTAAGTGCAGCAAAGCTTAATCCTTCCTTCCTGGAACCTTTTGCAGTCATTTCTGCTCATGGAGGAAAAACATGAAATCTACCAGCTGGGTTGCATCTTTTCCCACAGTTGATCTAAATGGCAGTTTGCTAAATAAGCTAAATTATTCCATGAAAACCCTGTCAGGGTTCACATCTTAGGCTGGATTGTAGCTTGTTATTCATTTGTTAAATAGACTTCAGTTGGCTAAGTTCAGGGAAACACAAACACAACCCATTGTGGCTTAACATGGTTTGGCCCTAATTCTAAGCACACTTATTACTGAGGAAGCTTCATGGAACATTTCCAGGGAAGGAAATCTATCATTGGGCTTAAGAAGTATGTTATAAGTGCCAAGTACAATCTCCTGGCAAATTCTACAATGCAACCCAGGGGAAAACAAGGTGTGTACGTGTCAAAAAAAGTCAAGTGGCAGCCACAACTGCATAATCAAAGCCCTCTTCTTTTTTAGAAGCACTTAAAAAGAGGGCACGGCTTTGATTGGGCAGTTTTGGACACCAGTTTGACATGTGCCTGTTCCACATAGGGACATATGCACCCACTTTGCGTGTGTTCTACATAGGTTACATGCAGATGCAGTTCAGATTCCCCCAAATTTTCCTAGACTAAGATGTGAACAATTGAAGTTCATTGAATAGAATTGTTTCTAGGCCAACAAAGAGAAGGACTAGGGGTGACATGATAGCAGTCTTCCAATATTTGAGGGGCATTCACAAAGAAGAGAGGGTCAACCTATTCTCCAAAGCAGTTGAAGGCAGAACAAGAAGGAATAAAACCTATCAAAGGGAGGAGAGCCAACCTAGAATTATGGAGAAATGTCCTGTCAGTGAGAACAATTAATCAATGGAACAGCTTGCCTCTAGAAGTTGTGTGGACTCCATTACTGGAGGTTTTCAAGAAGAATCTGGACAGAATGGTATATAGGGTCTCCAGCTTGAGCAAGGGCTTGGATTAGAAAACCTCCCAAGATCCCTTCCATTCTGTATACTCTATTCTTGCATCACATAAAGCAATAAGCCATCCTTTACAAGCCACAAAGATTCAGCTCGCATGATTTGGAAAACTAACAAAACCTTGTATGCAGTGGTTTAACACGTATGCCCTTTCAACCACAGTTGCACCAATGAGCCAGCTCTTTTTTAAACAAGAATCATTTCTAAAAACATCACAGATGAATTAGAAACAGAATTTTCTTGTCTTCTGCCAGGTCCAGGTGTGTGTGTGTGTGTGTGTGTGTGTGTGTGTGAGAGAGAGAGAGAGAGAGAGAGAGAGAGAGAGAGAGAGAGAGAGAGTGAGAGAGAGAGAGAGAGAGAGAGAGAGATTGCCTTCTTCACTGTAAGTAACCTTCAAAGAAATCAGTTCTTGAAGGCAAAGATTTGGGAGCCTCTGAAAATGGAAAATCAGATCTTTGGAGAAAAATATGCTGTCAGGGCACTGTTCAGAAAATGTGCAGGGACCATCCTTAATAAAGTTATCATATCTCTAATATCAAAGTACAAGCAATTACAGAGGCACACACAAAATCCAGACGCAGTTTGTTTCTTGGAAGGACAAAAAATGGTTGGTGAAAACGGCAGCAAAGATTGCATCTGTCTTCCCCCGTTTTTATTTTCTTTCTTCTCTAACCAGAACTCTCTTTATGAATCGCTTTATCCTTCTCAATAAGATACTGTCTGCGCAATCAACGATGATAAATGGCAAATAATTGTAAACCTGATATTGCTTTTCAATATTGAATTTATCATGCTGTCTTCTTAACACATATTAAATACTTCAAAGAATTTATATATTTGTTAGATTACTCTGTGCTTCTCCCCCCTCCCCACCTTCCCTCCAATAAGCAAAATGTATTAGTTTTCTAGTTTGGGGAAAATCTAAGAATATACAACATCATTAATAATGCTGAATAACAATCTGGTCTCCTTCACAGCTAATCTCTCCTTACTAATCCAAAGAACTCAAATCAAATATCTTATATTAGATTTAGGTGCCGAGTCCTAATGCAAAAACATTCATTGTACTCTGCTCTCTATGCAGCTGATTTCACTCAGTTTTTGCCTGAGTAGGGGGGGAAAGGAAAACTTATCAAATTGGAAAGCTTTAAGGAATAATTGATCAAGATGATCAGCCTCCTTCCTGGAATTACCAGGGATGTAAGACTGATAAAAAATCCAGGAGACAGTTATAGAAACAATCACTGCCAGTTTGGTGAAAAGTCCTTGCCAGTCCATCCAGAAAGAGAAACATAAAGTCTTGCAATAACATATATGGGGACAGACTAGTTCTAATGAGAAATAGTTCAGCTCTTCAAATTCTTGTAACCCCGTGCCATTCCTTTCAATAAATCTTGCTTTTAAAAAAACTGTGAACATGCATGGAAAGGACTCCCTTTTAGGCAGCTGCCAATAAGCCTGACAGAGGTTGGATTAACTGTCTGAAGACTCCGGCAGCTAAAATCCAACACCAGGATAAGGAAGGTTGAGTTAATTTGCTGCAGTGATTCTGGATTGTTTCACAAGCAGCTCTTTCACGGTTTTTCTGGGGATGTTAAGGAGTAAATCTGAGATTTGGGGCAGTGGTGAAAGAACCTACCAGAAACCCACAGTATTGTGGTTAATCAGCTGGTGTACAATGGCTATATTATTCCCAGCTTTGTCCATCATTATTGCTGAATTTGAGACAGGATTCTCCAGACTAAAAAAAAAACCTGACCAAATTCAGGGAAGAGATTAAAGAAAGAATCTAGAATCCTTAACAAATCAGCAGACTTTTTATTAAGACCCATTTTCATTCTTTGTGGAATGAAATATTTTACTTTTTAGTTTATAGCTGATTTTTTCTTAGGAAGGGCCCAGTGGCATCAATTAGTTTGTTAATCCTTTCTTGGTGTCTACCAGACTCTCCCCACACCCTCCGTTCCCCTTATTACTTTTTTAATTAGAAATTTAAAACTTGTTTTTTTTATTAAAAAAAACCACTGCTCTAGCATTACCTTCATTTTAAGATTGCTTGGATCCACAAAAGAATTTTGAGAAGATAAAAATGAAGCTCAAGATAGCCATTTGGTGCCAGTGTCCATAACACGCTGCCAAAACTCCCAATATTTTCACCAGTTTAAAATGATAGCAAACCCGCAGAGCATGGAATCACGCTTTTCAAAATAATATCCACCATCCTCTGCATTGGCTCACAGAAAGAATGGCTGGCAGGGAAGATGAAGGACCGGATCTAAACTTAAGGAGTAACCCTGGATTGTGTGTTCCTGTCTCAGGGGGTTTCTCTCAAGGTCCAGGCAGGAAAAAAAAAATTCAGTGGGCAGGAAATCTGAAACCCATCAAGTGAATGATGATTTTTAAGAAGAGATTGGACAACCTGTTGTCTGAAATGATAAGGTCTCCTGCTTGAGCAGGGGGTGGGACGAGAACACTTTCAAGGTCCCTTCCAACCCATTATACTGTTATTATGATGAGGCAAGGCTTGACTCACCAAAATAACTTACAATGGGAACAAAGGGGGAGAAAAGAAGAAAGTTTCCTACGTTTGAAATTTAAGGTCACTCCAGGGTTCATTTCCCTCCCCCCAAAAAACGGTATTTTCTCCAATGATTTCTAGTGATGAGGAATATGTTCCAGCTCTGAAGGCAATAATCCTCTCAAAGCCAGTTGTGAGAGAGCTACTTTTACGCTCTCTGGGGCCAGTCGAATGTCCAAAGATCCTTTGGTCTGCTTTAATGGCTATTTCTGTATTTTTACCTTCACGAGGCCCCTTCTTTTCAAGCTGTTAGACTTGCACTGAGAAAAACCTAAGTGGGAAAGGACATTTTCCTTTCTAATGTAATAAAAGGTGCACACACTCTTGAAAGTGGCTCCTTGGTGCTCCTAAATACAGAGAGCAGATTCCTGGCTAAACAGCAGGCAGGTGACTTAAAAAGAAGCGGTCTCCATCTTACACTACCGTTCATAATGACGTCTCTTTTTGGCACAAGCTTCTGCTTTTCTGCCTCCTGTTTTCTTCTCCATTTCTGTCCCCTTCAGGGCACCCTCCCAGGGGAGATCAAACTGTCTCTGTGTGTTCGGTGTGTGTAAGTGACCTGCCTCCATGCCCCCTCCTTGCTCATGATCTGCTTGTCCGTAGACAGAAGGCAGGAAGGAGAGAATGCCAGGTAAACCATCTGTCTTCATTATGGCCTAGAACAGATGCCAAGATGGTTTCCTGCCCCTCCCCCCCAGTGGAAGAATATGAGAGGGGGGGGGAGAACCCACTTTGATCTGAAGACATCATGACTCTGGATTTTGCAGCAAGGTAAGTGCAGGCTTTTAATCAGGCTGAAGCTGTAAACCTCCGCTGGACATTTTCTATCTCCCAAGTCTCACCACCTTCACCCTTTTTCGAAACCTGTCTCTTGGAAAAATAATATATATCCCAAAGATGCATATTTGATTCCTCGGTCGTTTTTCCTTTCAGCTGCTGAATCTGCGCCCGTGGGATTTAATCTCTCGCAGGACCCAAAGAAAATGAGATGGAGGATGAAATGGTGTCCAAGCATCTTTTGTCTTCTAGACGAGAGTTCCAGACTTCCTGCTTCTGCATAAATGAAAATAACTACTCCTAAGTAGGATCAGTAGAGGCCATTCTTCAGTACAGGCCGTTCTGGACCCAAATGCCACTGTTGGGTCCAGAATTTCCATTGATGAGACTGGTGGTTAAGTGACTCATGCTCAATTTTACGACCTTTTCTGCCAGAATTGTTAAGCACGTCACTACAGTTGTAAAGTGAATCATGTGGTCATTAAATAAATCCAGCTCCCCTTCCTGACTTGACTTGTCAAAAGCCAGCTGGGAAGATCATAAATGGTGATCACATGACCCCGGGACACAACAACATCCTAAATATCTGTCGGTTGCAAAGTGCCCAAATTTTGATCACATGGCTGCAGAATGCTGTGAGGGTTGTAAGTGCGAGGACTGGTTGTAAGTCACATTTTTCAGTGCCATTGAAACTTTGAACGGTCACTAAATGAATGGCTGTAAATCAAGAACTACCAGTATATACAGGTAGTACTCAACTTACAACAGTTCATTTAGTAACCAATCAAAGTTATAATGGCCCTGAAAAATGTGACTTATGACCATTTTTCACATTTAAGATCACTGCAACATCCCCATGGTCACATGATCAAAATTCAGACGCTTGGCAACTGACTCCTATTTATGACAGTGGCAGTGTCCTGGGGGTCATGTGATCCCCTTTTGCGACCTTCTGAAAAGCAAAGTCAATGGGGAAGCCAGATTCACTTAACAACTGTGTTACTAACTTAACAACTGCAGCGATTCACTTAAGAACTGCGGCAAGAACTGCGGCAATATGGGGCAAAATTCACTTAACAACATAAATTTTGGGCTCAATTGTGATCGTTAAGTTGAGGAATACCTGTAAGTTGGAGGGAGAAAATGGCACTGGGAGCAGCTGTTTGAAGACTCTGAAAACAGATCGAAGGATCCAAAGAATAAAATGCTCACCAGGAATGCAAAATCACTCATTGGACCCACCAGAAATTAGGAGCTGAAATCTTCTAACCCAGTGTTTCTCAACCTTGACCATTTTAAGGCATGTGGACTTCAACTCCCAGAATTCCACAGCCAGCATTGCTGGCTGTGGAATTCTGGGAGTTGAAGTCCACATGCCTTAAAATTGTCAAGGTTGAAAAACACTGTTCTAACCCTTTTTGGAGATCAGGTGGATTGAGCCAACAACATGCAAGCTGCTGCTTTTCAACACTTGCATAGTTGCTGTGAAGATAAAAAGAGGTAATTACAAGCCATCCTAGGTATTTGATAGAATATTACCAACAAATCTGGATTTAGTTAAGTAAGCAGATTTGACAGCAAGAAATAACAATTCAAGTTCCAGAAGACAAATCCTATCACAGCTAGTTTGTATTATTGGGAGGGGGGGGGAATCTATGTTGGCCCATAGATACTTTGTGCTCCAAAACAAGGGCAATATCTCTCCTGCACACTTTCTGTTTTGCATTTGCAGTACTTGACCTCAGTGCCAAACTCTAATAAAAGCAAATTCACAAAAATAAAGACAACAAGAAAAACCTGGAGGTAAATGGGGCTTAATATTGTTATGGACTTTTGCAGGCACAAATAATTTTATTGAGGTCAAAATCAGCAACGCGCTCAAAGTAAAGGGAGTTTAACATTCAAGTTGACCAGTTTAGATACCTGTTATTGTTTTTAGTATATTCTTTTTTTTCCCCGTTGTCAGGTATGTAGGAGACAATCAGCAAAAAAGGAGGTTGGATGAACAAAAAGGAATAAAAGAACCTGGAGAAAGAAAAAGAAGTTCTTAAATTCCAACAAAAATAAAACTGAGATTATTAGAATCATACAATATTCAAAATAGTTCAAGGCCTCCTGTATTTACTTTATCATTTATTTCAACAGGATTGGCGCAAGAGAAGATAAAAAGGCTGCCTGGAAAATCATGCCTATCGTAAGAGTTCTCCATCCATCTCCATTCTTAATTAAATAACTTGTTACTTAATAAAGTTGACCGATGATTTACTTGAATTCATTAATTCTGAATAAATGCTCCTTGTTGGCGTTGCTTTTGTCACTGACAAAGATCAGGTCCTAAAAATAAAGTAGGATGCTTTTATTTAAGCAGGCCATGTTAACAAGCCCTGTGGTTAAATTGTGGTAAAAGATGGATGCCCTTCACTTCTGTTTTGAACATGTGTTGTTGCGGGTTGAGAAGATGAAAGGTGCCGAGTAACGGCATAGTAATGATAAGGAACAACCTTTCCAAGAGAATTGAGAATGTGGGAACCCTCCATTGCAGAGTAACAGCCTTTCTCCCAGGAGTGTTCTTGGCGTTGCACCAAAATATGCTAAAGCGGCCATTAATATCTCCCTCTGACTTTCATTGCAGGATATATTAAGTTACTGCAAAACTCTATAAAAACAGTTTGCTTTAGGAAAGAAATACAGTTCAAAAGAGAACCTAGTCCTGCATGAAAAGCCAATGGGCAACAGATCAGGACGAGAGGCGGTGGGAAATCTGGCTGCTGTCCTGTCAAAGACCCTCCACCCAGTGGATGAACTCTGGCAGGCCGTTTGGCCTTCCTGATCTTTGGCTGCCAAAATCTCGATCTTGGTGGGGCTTGTTTTGCATTTGCACCAGCAAAACCTTGCCTTAGAGAACGCAAGCCGAGTGACGCGGCTCAGCAAAGAATCTGCGAGCTGCCTCTATTATGCCTCCTCATCCTTGCAGCACTTCATTTTTACCTGCTTACTTAGAAGTTTGTCAACACAAGCCGAATTTTTCTGCCTTTCGGAAGAAAAATCAAACAACAGATGTAGGGGGTGTTTACAATGCAAAAACCCACAATTCACTAAGTCAAAAATTATTCACCAGGAAAATTTAAATTCTGCACGTGCAATATTAGGCACTGTAACATATGTCTATTTTGCATATTATTTTATTCATCTGAAATCCAGTGTGCCAGATATCTCTAGGATAATGAGCCCTCAACAAGGCGGTTTGCAGGACAGAGAAAAACTGTCCAGGGTACTGAAATAAAAATACAGCAACGCTGTATTCTTCCGGCCACTTTTTACATGTAATCCACATAGATACTATGGTTACAGATTTTATCAGTCAGGAATCCTTAATAGTTCAATTGTTTATAAAAATAGCTGTGTAAAACTCACCAGAATGACAAATGTGATATTGCCAAATACTTGCATGGTCACCAAACTTTTCCTTTTATACAGGTGTCAGATTGCACGATATATAAAAGTAGAGTTTAGCAATTTAATCTCAATGTTGGAATTGTTTAACAAATATATAACAGTGAAATCTAAGTAAAACTAAAAGTAGAATCAGGACGATCTCTTTCTATGTATGTAATAGGTTATGTCATAGCTTGTGACAATGTATACTAGAGCAGTATTTTTATGCAATATTTTTTTTTATTTTGAAGATAAAGTTATAGGTTTACTAGGCATATTTTGAAGGAAGCAGCTGGGTGCCAGAACAATCACAAAAGGGCAATGAAGCTCTCTTTGCTTCATCCAGCCAGGCTGATCTAGAGAAAGAGTGACTCTCAGTGCCCATTATGAAAATTACACCCTGAAAACTATTGGCAGATGCACTTAAATGATCTAACAAATAAAACAAATCTTTATAATCTGTGGCTCTCTATTACCATTTCAAATCTGTGAACTAATTGGGAGGGATTTATCTCTATGCAAAGATTCATTGGATCACAATACACCAGCTATGAATCATGATTTTGGAAACAGAAGAGTTTCAACTACAGAATAAACCTTTTTGTCTTTCGTGGCTTATTTCTTGAGTTGGGCTACTGTATATCTTTTAATTTACCATATGGAAGGAAAGACATTTTTCTTCCATGACTTGACATGGGAAGGGAAGTGGATGGGAGCTTCTACAGTATACATGAACATAACCTCAAAATGAAAGGAGTTACCAGATTAAAATGTCATTAAAATGTCAAAAAATGATATATTACAACTGCATGTATATATGGAAAATCATAGTTGTGTATATCACAGTAAATTTTTCTTCTTTACTTAATAATTGATCATAACTGCTCTGAAATGCCACCAAAAATGAAGACACTAATCCATTCAAAATGACAGCTTTTGGTCTATTCTTCTGTTTTTAGCAAATTGTGATTATGTTCGTTCCTTAACTGTCCTGTTTCCTTGAGTAGTAATCTCCTTTATGCTGAAATAAAACAGTATTGTCTCTGGGAAAAATACCAGTGGTCCTCAACTTACGACCACAACTGAACCCAAAATTTCTGTTGCTAGGTGAGACACTTAAGTGAATTTTGCCTCATTTTATGACCTTTCTTGCCAGTTGTTAAGTGAATCACTACAATTGTTAAATTAGAGATACGGTTATTAAGTGAATCTTGCTCCCCCATTGGCTTTGCTTGTGAGAGGTTCATAAAAGATGATTTACATGACCCGGGATACTGCAACCATCATAAATATGAACCAGTTGCCAAGCATCCAAATTTTAATCACGTGACCCTGGGGATGCTGCAATGGATGTAAGTGTGAAAACTGGTCACAAGCCACTTTTTTCAGTGCCGTTATAACTTTGAATGGTCACTAACTGAACTGTTGAAAGTTGAGGTTTACCTGTAACAGAAAAGTATCACAGAATGTATGAGTGGGTGGGGACCTTACAGATCTGGACCAGGCCCTGCTTAGTTTGGGAATCCATTAACGTTTCCTTGACAGAAGACTACCTAGCCCCTATTTGGAAACCTCCGGCCAGGTTAGGTTGGGTCTTTCTTTGATTAGTTTCCATCCATTACTTCTTGTCTTGCCCTCAGGAGCTTTGGAGAAGAGATTGTCCCCCCTTCTTTGTGCCGGACTAAGAGCTCTTCAAGGTCCATCTACAGATGGGATAGTGGGGAAAGGGCTGCACTAGGTTGGATGCAGTATTTAAAGCACAGTCTCACCTTGCGCTATAAAGTGGTATTCACTTCACATGTTCTTAAAACTATCCCTCTCTTGATGCAGTCTGCATTTGTTTGTTTTTTTCTTGCCTAAGTATAAACCCTGAATTGCATTTTGTTGGACAGCCAGTGTTTATGTCTGTTAAGGGGATCACGTGACCCCAGGACACTGCAACCCTCATAATAAATAGGAACCAGCTGCCAAACATGAGTTTTGATCACGTGATCATGGGGATGTTGTAAAGGTTGTAAGTGTGAAAAACAGTCACAAGTCACTTTTTTCAGTGCAGCTGTAACCTTGAACAGTCACTAAATAAACCCTTGTAAGTCGAGGACTACCTGCATTCCAGGTGACCTTTGGGCGGCTCAGCAGGAAGGGGATGCCTGAGAAGGGGGAAAAACAAGCTCCTGTCCTGACTTCGCAGCGGGGGCCTCAGGTCCGCCCAGCCCACCTCGCAGGATTGTCGCTATGGGGAATAAATAACAGGAAGACGAAGCACCATCGAGCTCTTGAAGGAAAGGCGGGGCGGAGAAAGGAGGCGAGCCTGTGGAGCTGAAGCGATCAGAGATCCGGCTTCCAGCTCCGCCCGGCCTACCTCACAAGGCTGTCGTGATGGTGGGCGGAAGCAATACGACGGAGCACCTCGCGGCCGGGAATAACAAGGAGCCTCAAAGCCGCGGGTGATAACAACGCCCAACTTTTCCCTCAGAAGTTGGCGGAAACCGTCACCGGAAGTGGCGACGCCCTTTTCGCGTGGCCCCGCCCCTCTACGCGCCCCCTTTCTGTTAGCCCGGCCCCCTCCTCGGCGATGGCCAATCAGAGGGGCAGGAAGGAGCGCGGCCCGGCAACGGAAGGCGGGACGGGCGGAGCCCCGCCTTCTCGCGGAGATGTTGCGGACCGAGAAGGTGCTGCTGTTGCGGAGCCTGCAGGGCCGCTCCGTGCGGGTGGTGCGCGAGCACTACCTGCGGCCCGACGTGCCCTGCGGCAGCGCCCTCTGCCGGGCGGGCTGCCCCCGCGGTGCGTGAGAGCGGGGGCGGAGCCTCGGGAGGGGGCGAGGCCTTGGCTCGGGGACTGCGTGGTCGTGTGAACGCCGTTCGCGGCCTTCCCTGGAGTGGGCGGGGCTTCTGAACGCCAGGGTGGGGTGGAGGAGCCAGGGAGGGCTGTAGCGATGGGGTTTTCTGTGTGATCTCAGAATATTAGCTTCGTGGGGACAACGAGTTGTGTGAACGCGGCTGTTTGCGCGGAAGGTGGAAGAAAATCCGTGCTGGTGCTGAGAGCCCTTATTTCAGACCCAGGGAAGGCGCTTAATGCCCAGTTTCATTACTCCTCATTGAAGGGAAAGCGATCTTCGGGAGGAAAGTCAAAACGCATTAAAAAATAGGCTATTAATGCCCCTTCATTCCTAGAGTGAGCTGCATTTCAGCCCTTTTCTTCGGTTCCTGATGGTCATTCCTAAGCAATAAATTCGGCCCAAGAAAGCAATAGGAAAAAGTTATTCCAAGTTTTTGTTGCGAGTTTCGAGAGGAAGTAGCTCCATACCAAGCAGATGTAGCTGGAAGAAGGATCAGATTTAAAGCTTTGCTTTTTGCACAATTTAGAGGGCATGAAAGGCCTTACGGTGTTCTAGGTGTAACTCCATGTGTTCAATACCCCTAATCATTGCCCTACTATGGTCTTCCATTGGTCATTTTTAAAAAACCCAGAAGTCATTGCTAGTCATACTGTCTCCTGCTGTGTTCCCAAACTAGTCTGAGTTTACAAGTTTTTTTAAGTTAAAAACTGCATAATTTCCCTCTATTGTACACTTTTACTTCACCTTCTCTCCCTTCTTTGGCTGTTTTCTCTTATCTCGTATAAAGCTGTCAGGACTCCCTGCCTAAATTTTGTTTTCTGCTTCAGATGGGAAATTGCTCTCCGATGATGTCACTCACTATGTCGTGCCTGATTGGAAAGTGCTTCAAGATTACCTGGAGATTCTGGAATTCCCTGAGCTGAAGGGGCTGGTTTTCATGCAGACAGCCTGTCAAGCGATGCAGCAGCAAAGAGGCCGCAGGTATCCCGTTTTCTCCGGGAGGGTTTAGTTCACAAGCTAATGCAGTCCTAGGTTGCACCAACAGAGGCATAGCTTCAAGATCACATGAAGTGATAGCACTCTTTATGTTATTTATTTTATTTATCAAACTTCTTAACCGCCCATCTACGTTACGAAGGAGAGGTTTGGCACAGCAGTGAGGGTGGTCACCGTAATACAAAAAAAGATGTTGAGACCCTAGAAAGGATGCAGAGAAGACCAACAAAGATAACAAGGGGTCTGGAGGCTAAACCATAAACCGTTTGGTTTGGATTTAAATTGATTTCATTTCATTTATATGACTGCCCGTTGCAACTACAGGTAGTCCTCGACTTAACAACCATAACTGAGCCCCAAATTTCTGTGGCTGAAGTGAGTTTTGGCCCGATTTAAAGCTTTCTTGGCACGATTGTTAAGTGAATCACTGCAATTAAGTTAGTAACACAGTTGTTCAGTGAATCTGGCTTCCCCGTGGATTTTGCTTTCAGAAGGTCACCAAAGGTGATCACATAACCCTGGGACACGGCAACCATCATAAATATGAGCCAGTTGCCAAGTATCTGAATTTTGATCACGTGGCCACAGGGATGCTGCAGTGGCCATAAGTGTGAAAAATGGTTGTAAGTGACTTTTTTCAGGGCCATTATAACTTCGATTGGTCACTGAATGAACTGTTTTAAGTTGAGGACTGTCTGTACATGACTCTGAGTGGCTCAATAGCAGACTTGAGCAAACGCTTCTAAAACGTGCCCAGCTGCAGCCTCGGCTGGCAGGAGCAGCCCTTCCATTGACCGCACAGACTGGCAGACAGACGAAGGCCCTGGCATTCCGATTGGCAGGCAAAGCGAGGCAGCGAAGGGATGCCCAGGCAAGGACAGGAGGGGTGGCTGGTGAAATGGCCACTAGGACAGCACCTGGCCAGCCACCTGTTCCTCACTGAAGCGGTTGATGCCCTCTGATAAATCAGTGCCACAAGATGAAAGGCAGATATAAAACAGAGCACAGAAGCACAGTCAAGCAACATTGTCACCTTGCATAATTCCTTTTGATATAGCTGTTCCATAATTCCAAGGTACTACGTTGTTTCTAAAAAAACAAACCTTTGCCACTGCTGTTCTTAGCGTAGTTTAACATAACATATTATCTGAAGGTCCGTATATATCCAGAGCTCCTGGCAGCAGAAGAACCGTTGGTGGCTGCAAATGATTTGAGCAGGAAGTTCTAAATATGAGGAATGGCTGTTTCGGGTCTTAAATAATAAAGTTGTTCTTCCTCAAACCGTGTCTTGTCTTGTACTTCTTCTACAGGCAGTATAATAAACTGCGGAATTTAGTGAGGGATGCCCGTCGTGATTGCATTATATTTTTTAATGAATTCCAGCTGCTTTCTTATTTGCCACGAGAGCGGGGAGAATTGCTGGAGAAATGGCAAACGAGGTACGTGCTCCACATAACAAAGTCCTGAGCCGTGCAACTTTTCTTGAGCGATGGCACGCTCATAGTCATGAGCCTGGCCCAGACCTGGCCTGTGTGTGTGTGTGTGTATGTGTGTGTGTGTGTGAGAGAGAGATCATTGTCTTATACCTGTAGTCCTTGACTTACGACCACAATTGAGCCCGGAATTTATGTCATTTGAACAAAGCAGAGAACTGCCTATGTGGATTCTGATTGGGGTGACACAGAAATAAGATCTGCATTTTCTCGCGTTTATGTGTTTTATTCTATTTTTAACATATGGTCTTACCACTGTTTAGTATTTTATATTCTGGATTCTGATAAGGCCTAATCAATGAAGTATTACAGTAAAGTGTTGTGGAAGGAACTCCCTTTAGTTTTCAGTGAACCCTTCAAGGACTGCATAGACTTAGATGGTTGTGGCACGTTCTCAAAAGGCAGACATTAAGTCATACAAATTGTGGGATCAGAGCAAAATGCTAAGTTGTAACATGACACCCATAGATAAACGTGAACGCTGATTCTCCTAGGAGTATTTACAACGCCGCTGTGTGGTATTATAATCACTTTTCGGGCCAGATGCCCATTGTCATGGTAACCGAGGACGAAGAAGCCATACAACTGTTTGGCAGTGAAACGGAAGGCGTCTTTGTGATCTCATTCAAGGTAATGCTTTTGTGCTGTTCTTTAAGTAGTTCACTTAATTACTTTGGGACTAATTAGGACCTGGATTCAAAGTTCTGATGGCTGCCCCCCGCCAACCCGACTGAACTTCAGGTGCTCAGCATCACAGACACATTCAATGCCGCTCAAAGCATCCTGGCACCAACCTTTTTTTTTTTTTTTTTTTTGTCTGTACACCCAGAATTACTTGGACAACTTCTGGCCCGATTTAAAAGCCACTCACGAGCTTTTAGATTCCATACTCCAGTCACGGCGTGAACGGGAGAACGAAAGCCACGAAAACAGTGGGAAGGAATACCCCGAGCATCTCCCGACAGAAGCCCTGGAAGCTGGAATCAAATCAGGACTCTACATCCAGGTAACATTTACAATGCATGCACAGAAAACTGAAATAACAGAGAGGAAATTACCTATTTCTGACTCACGGCCAGAAGAGGCTTGACACAGAGCCTTTTAGCGGGAGCTTACTTTAAACTTCCCAGCATCTTTCTTTAAAATTTGTAGACCAGATCTGGCAATCTGGCCAGGTAGGTTGATTTTCCTAGAGTCAGCTACAAATACCCAGAGACCTATACAGAATAATAAGCCATCCAGGTTGTTTTTTTTTCTGGAAATAATGGTGGAAATGAAGAAGGTTGAAGATGTCAAAATGGGTATGGGAAAGCCCTAAAAACAGGAGCACTTGATATATGTTTAATCTCTTGCTCTTTTCTCTCGATAATATAACATGGTGATTGTGGGCAAAAAAGGCCCAGATTCTTGCTGCTGTGTCTAATAGAATAACAGAATTGGACGAAAAACCAAAATCCACAAAACAAAGATCTGGAGTGTTTAGCAGCGATTTATTTTAGATAACTTGAAAGTGGCCTGACAACTAGTAATAAAAAATAACCGTTTATGACTCTTAAAATGACACAGCGAAGCAACTGTAATAAAAGGAGCACAGCTGGCCAGATAAAATGAATAATCTATGGATTAACTGATAGTATTTGTTTGCCACCAGTGAGTCTTCAAAAATGGGGAAAAGCTAGTAGGAAGGAGACCAATTAGATTTATTCAGCCACAACGCGGATATCAGCAGCAAGAGCCAGCGTGGTGCACTGCTTAAGGTTGAATTAAGAGCAGCAGAAGTTCATGTCCAGATCTTTTCTCGCTATGAAAACTCAGTGACTTTCAGTGTCGGTCTGTGTCGTCCAGCCTACACACAGGGTTGTAGTTGCAGGGAAAATCAGAGGCACAGGTTCAACTAGAAAACCTCCAAGGTCCCTTCTAACTCTGTTATTCCGTTACTTTATTCATTTTTGTAGGGGATCTTGAATGTGAATAAGCACAGAGCCCAAGTAGAGGCATTCATGAGATTTCAAGGCGCTAGCAACAAAGACAAAGGTGAGGACAAATTAAGTATATTCAGTTTGGCTCTTATGCCAAGTCTTATTTTTCATTCCTTATGCAGGCTAATTTTATTTATTTTATTTTATTTTATTTATTATTTTATTTTATATTCATTATTTTATTTTATTATTTTTAATTATTTTTTTATTTAATTCCTCAGTCAATGGCCTAACTAGGCTGCCTGAAATGAAAGGCTGGTTTCAT